TTCAGAAGCAGTTGTCTGCAGTTTAAAAGGTTGGAGTCTTCCCAAAATAGTACAAAGAGACTCACTCAAGGGAATGGACATCTGCAAATCTGATGAAGAGGTCAGTAGAAAACTGTTTAAATTCATTCTTTCCAGGACACAAGGCCATGTCTCATGGCACCAAACTTGCTAGGTGGGCCCACCCAGCCAGCTTTGTTCAGGCTTCTTCCCCTTTGGAGGAGCAGCCCTAACATTTCAGTGCTGGCCCTAAAGCTCCCTCTGCCTCTAGTGTCTGAACTCACATGAGAAAAACTTATTCTGCTCCTGTGAATACAAGTCCATCACTAATTTCTCCTAAAAGGCAATGGATAAAGTTTGGTTAGACACAGTATGTTTTTATGGGACTGGGGATTGAACCCAGCCCTCACACTCAGCTGTACCCCCATTCCTTTTCATTTGTCCAGACAGGCTCTTGCTGAGTTACCAAGCTGCCTAGTATTGGCTTGGACTTGCAGGACTCTTGCCTCCGCCTCCAGGAGTACCAGGATTATAGTTGTGCTTGCCCAGCACATAGTATCAAAGTAATAAACTTGGCAACTCTGAGATACATACTCATTTTACTTCTCTTTTGTTATTGATAGACCATTTTCTTAAGAACACACATTCTAGAACCAACAACTAGGATTAAAAATTTTTTTTCTCCATTTATGTGTTTGGTACAGGGTCTCACTATGCCGCTGAGACCTGGACTCATAGTGATCCTCCTGTTTTCAGCCTCCCCAGTGCTGGGATTACAGGCATGTGCCACCACGCCTGGACTCAGTCACTGGCTCAGGGCACCCTGTACGTGGGGCCAGCGCAGCATCTGGGACCAGGGATCGAACTCCGGTCCCTGCACTTGCCAAAGCAGGCACTTAGTCTGCTGAGCTATCTCACAAGCCCTAAAATTTGTTTTGATGCTTAGGGTTTTGTTTGTTTGTTTGTTTGTTTGTTTTGTGATGGTAGAGAACAAACCTAGGGCCACTGCCTCTGGGCTACTGCCCCAGCCTGAGTTTCTGCTCTTGCTCATGCAGTTTCTTACTTGGTTAAGCATCAGCTGATTTCAATGCTAGACTGGAGATGATTACAGCTTTTGGAATTCTTATCTATCACCTATATTGGAATAAGCTGCTGAAAATAAGTTACGTCTAATTCCTAGGGAATAGCATAATTTCAATTTACTGATGAGAGTAATAGCACCTAGGATTCAAGCCAAGTATCAGACTTATACAGGGAAGAGCTGTATGAAATCTGATTTTTATGCAGTTTTTGGAGTCATAAAAGATGTTGGTTAAGAATAAGGATAAAACCAGCTGGGTATAGCAGTGCATGCCTAGAATCACTAGCACTAGGGAGGCCAAAGCAGGAAGATCACCACAAGTTTAAGGCCAACCTGGAATACACAGTGAGCTCAAAGCCAGCCTGAACCCTAAAAACCAAAACAAGAATAAAGACAACACTGAAATTAGAAAATGTGAACTAGGGTCCTGCTTCAAGGTTGTATATGGTGAGATTTTTGGACTTACGTGAAAACATGAGAAGTATATAATTCTTTATCCTATTTTTAAAATATGATCTAATTTTTAAATGTTTTTATCATATTATGCAGGGACTTAAAGTTCAACATATCAATACTTGATGAAAAATACCTGCTCCTTATTATGTCTAAGATGTTTGAAATGCAGTGAGATAGTGAGGTTAAGCTTAATAACCTAAATCTCTTGATAATAACAATAATCTTGTCTTCTGGATGGTTAACAACCTAAGTTTGCAGACCAAAATTAAAGAAAAAGGAGGGCTACAAGGAAAGCCAACATTTTGGCCCTAACCTTCTAAGGTCAATTAAGACTCAGGACATATGAGAACTTGTACTGTAACGTCATGTACCTCGGTAGTGTCCCAAATTTTCTGATCAAGAAGATTATGGGGCCAAGAGGAAAGTGATCAATGATGTAGAGTGTGCCTAAGGAGAGTCACATGGGGAGAAAACACTCTCTCAGGCTTTCACAGAGAGCACATCGGCCAAGCAATGGCCGTGACTCATCCACATGGCTGTACTGACAAAGGTTCTACAATCTGAGGTATAGGATCTCAGGATAAATCCTGAGGGCATTTCACTGACCTTCTCAGACCAAAAAGCTACAACTCTTATTGCATAGGTCCTGCTTTACCTTGGTCTTAACCATCCAGTAGAAAAGTATGAAGACCAAATATAGGAAGTAAAGCCATGCTGTTATGTTGAGCTGTGGGGGACTCAGGTCAATAATTTCTGACATTGCCAGTTAAACAGAAGACCCAATGCTATTATGGGCTACTGGACTCTTTTAGAATATTTTGCTGAGTTTACACACCTATAATATTCAATGACGGAACTTAGAAAAATTAGGGTATACAGATGAATGTCCATTTTGTATCTGTGTATTCAAAGTGGTTAGGATAGATATATAGTTGCATTCTCTTAATGAAAAGAATGATTTGTTCTAATGGTGTTTGTAAATAGGATCTCAAGTCTGCATCTTATACAGCAATTAACCACTAAGAATAATATATGCAGTGTGTTATTTGTTGAAACTGTACTTCCAATTTGATTTGAAACTGTCTCATTGCTGTTTATCAATAAAATTTTGAAAAAAAAAAGAAAGAAAATGTGAACTACAGGATGGATGAACTGGCTGGTTGACCTATTATAATAATCATTAGACAAAAAGAGTTCAGAATATTGATTACATAGTTGTCATGTGGTAGGTTACCATCTATTTTATAAGGTATATACACCTTTTTTTTGGTATTTTTTAGGACAGGGTGTACAGGGTCTCACTGCATAGATTGTACTCGTAGTGATCCTCCTGTTCACAGCCTCCCAAATGCTGGGATTATAGTCATGCACCACCATGCCCAGTCTCAATTGCCCTCTCAGCACGCCCTGGGGGTGGGGCCGGCACAGCAGGCCAGAGGATCAAACTCCTGGCCCCTTGTCTGCCTAAGCAGGTGCCTTAATCTGTTGATTTGGCTGGCCCCAGACATATACCTTATATATACTTTGATCTAGTTTTCCAGATTTATATGGTTCTAAGAATTAGTCAGTTGAGCATGGTGGTACAGCCTATAATTGCAGCATGCACGGAGGCTGAGGCAAGAGGGTCAGAACCTCCAGTCCAGCCTGGGCAATGTAGACTTTGAGAGACCTTGTCTCTAAAAAAAGGGTGGAAGTATAGCTTATTCTCAGTGCTCCGGGGGGCCAGGGAGATGGCTCAGTGGAATAAGCGTTTCCCTGGCAAGCGCAAGAGCCTGAGTTCAATCCCTGGTTCTGCAAAAAAAAAAAAAAAAAAAAAAAGAAAACTGTCTCAGTGTTCCGGGTTCAATCCCCAGTACAAAACACAAAATAAAACAAACAAATAGAAAAAATCCCCCATGAGATGCATATGGAAATTATTTCTTTTCTTTGGGCCTGTAAAGGCTTAACAGTTTTGTGTCTTAACTGTGGAAAATTATAAAAACCCCTTGTGCTTCCTGTCATCTACTCTAAAAAATGTATTCTCCCTTTCGGCTCAAGGCTGTTCAACAATAAATAACTGTTTCTTGTCAAGGCAGCAAGCTAACACAAATTGCCTCCCCAACCATCTCCTGTAATGTAGTCAGCTTAAGATGTATCTTGTAAAAATATACACTTATCACTAAGCTGTAAAAGACTTTTTAGTAATAAACAGTTTACAGCTGTGTCCAATAAATGTAGTTTCTATTGTTCTATACTAGATAACAAATTTGTTTACCAAACTGGATGTGATTTCTATTATAAATACTCCCTTGCTACCTATGCTCGGGGCCGATCAGCCTTCTCCTGCGTGAGAAGTGGCTGACGGACCTGAGCTCAATAAATAAAAGGCTCTATTCAAATTTCTATCTGGCTGATCTGGGTTCCTATGTAGAGTTGACCCATCACAGGGCCTACTAAATATACAATCTGATAGCACCCAAGTAACAAAATCAGGCAGGCCTGGTGGGCTGGTAATTCAGTTTTCACAACCTCATAGACACACACTTCTAGCTTCTCAGATAGGGGTCACAAAAGTGGGCTGGGGGTGTAGTTCAGTGGTAGAGTACTTGCTTAGCATATGAGGTCCTGGGTTCCATCCCCAGCACTGAAAACATACGAAACAATGCTGTTGGATGCATTTTAATCAATCATTTTTCACAAGGGCAGGGAAGATTTTAGATGTGATCCTAGAGCTAACTCAAGAATGGAGTTAGACCCAGAGTCCAACCCTCTGGCACCAATGGGGGCCAGGGAAGTGAAGGAAGCAGGTGAAGGAGCCCTCAGCCCCACGGCTGATGTGATGTCGGAATCAGCCCCGTGCAGCCAGGTGAGTCTCTGTGGAGTCCCACACATCTTCAGTGTTGGGAATTAGTTAAAGCCATAAGAAACACAAAAACCATCTGAGTCAAATGTCATCTAGAGGATGATAGTTTTGTGAGTTAGCTCCAGAATTTGTTTCCTAGGAGATAGGAGGACAAAGCAGAACCAGGAATCTAGTGAGGCCTCATTATGTCAGTTCTTGCTATGACTAGAAACCCCATGATGATTCCAGGGTGCCAACTCCTGCTGTGACTGCTACTGAGTGGGGCCGACTTCTGCTTTAGGGACCAGAGCCAGGCCCTTCTCCTCCACTGGTATGAAAGTTCAGGTAGAGGAAGGGCTGTCTTAACCCTACCAACATGGTTTTGCTGGTTCACAGATTAAACATATGCAAGACTAGTAAAGCTAAGCAAGGAATGGTGGTGCATGCCTGTACTCCCAGCACTCTGGAGGAGGCTGAGGCAGGAGGATCATTGCATGTTTGAGACCATCCTGGGCTACAAAATGAGCTCAAGGCCAGGCTGAGCTACATAGCAAGACCCTGTCTCAAAAAAAAAAAAAAAAAAAAAAAAAAACCACTAGCGGAGAATTGGATTTCATTTCTAAAGTGATGTAAATACCATTTAGAGTTGGAAAATAGCTCCAATTTTATTCATAAAATTATTAATCAAAACTTACAAAACTAGATTGACAGAGTCATGTATCAACAACCAAACAAGGAGGCAATGAAACATTCCAGAGACATCGTGAAAAGTTGTAGAGAAGCACAGGGTGGGCCAGCCATCTCCAGGTAAACCGTGACTGCACGACAGGTTGTATTCATTCCTGCATTTTCTCAATGAGCTCTTCTTTGTGTTTGCCTTTCTCTTTTCCAGCTTGTCGAGACTTGGCTTTGCGTCCAAGAATCTTTTTTCTGTCTTTGTCAAGTTTTAGCCTGGTGATAACCACCTGTTAGGAAAACCAACAAATCTTTAAGCATGAAGAATTCCCCAGCTGGACATGTAATCTCAATACTTGATAAACTGAAGCAAGAGGGCAGCCACGAGTTCAAGGCCAGCCTGAACTACATAGGAAGACCCTGTCTCAAAAAACCAACCAAAAAAACCCCTTACCAACAGGGCCAGGTATGGTGGCACCCACTTGTAATCCCAACACTCAAGAGGCTGAGGCAGGAGGTCTCCAAGTTCAAGGCCAGCTTACACCCCATAGGGGGATCCTGTTTCCAAAAAACCCAGAAACTCCAAAAACAAAACCAAAAGGACACCAACCAACCAATCAATCAATCAATCACCATCATCCTGGAAAGCAGAGCTTCCCCTGAAAATAAACACCACTTAGGTTCCTTTTAATTAATTAATTAATTCCATCTATCTATATTGCTAGGTAGTTCAGACTGGCCATGAACTCCCAGCAATCCTCCCGCCTCAGCCTCTTGAGCGCCTGAATTACAAGCACGAACAACCAGTTCGGGCTTCTTTCTATACCAGCCTCCCACACCTGTAATTCCTGAGGACTCAGCTGACCATTCAGATAGATCAGTGATATTGTCATCCGGGTTAGGAAAATTCATTCATCATTCCTTGGTCGGCAAGATGCAGTGCTTTAAGATGCAGCTACAGGGCAATACACAGACTATGAGGTAAACACCCTGACCATGCTGTCTTTGAGATCTGAAACTCAGAAAAAAAGACAGATCTAATCACACAATCTAAAACACGAGTGCAAAAGCAGAGTATCATATCCTACCAGATGGGCACGAAGGTCCCAAGAGATGCTCCCTTATTCTCCCTCTCAACTAGTGGGACAGTGATGCTCAGAATATCTGGAGCCCTCTTGCCACCACCTTCAACATGTTGCTAGAGTGGCAAACAGAAAACCAATCAAGCCTGCCTGGTCTACCTCGAAGCTCTTACCTTGGGCACCTGTGCAGATGGCACCAAAGTGCCACCGCCTCCACACTATTCAAGTGGCGGTTGCCCCACTCAGCCAGGAACCGTATGTACCTTGCTGGGGCGAACGCCCACACGGACAGTCGTGCCATTAGCTTTCTCATGCTGCTCGCGCTTGAGGTAGACGACGTATTTCTTTCTGTACACCGGAACGACCTTGCCAATTTGCTGACCTCTGTAGTGTCCTCACACCACCTAAGAGAAAGGACAAATAAAAGCCCCGCTCTAGTGCATGCAAGTCATGATGGGGAAGCTAACGATCCTCATGGAGGCTATGTGTATAACGTTTTGTACAAAAACAGATTAAGCCTTGGACGTCAAAGCCCAGCTGTATTTGTGCTATAAACTTGCTTTGTGTTATGCTAGGTTGGCTAGATTTTTTTTTTTTTTTTTTTTTTGTGCTTTTTAAGACAGAGTCTTACAATGCAGCCCAGGCTGGCCTCAAACTTGCAGCAATCCTGCCTCAGCCTCCCAAGTGCTGGGATTACCAACATACACTACACTTGTCCAGCTGGTTAGAAATTCTTCCTCTGAATTTTATTTTATCTGAAGAACAGCAATTAAAAAAAAACCTCTTTGGACTAGGATGGTTACCACAGAACCAATCCAAAAAAATACCCCAAAACTTAAGATCTAAATATAGAAATATAGTTAAAAATAATTAAGAAATGTTTTATTATCTAGGGAAATGATTCAGATATGTGCTTTAGAGAGGAAAATGGATTACAGGTGTGTATTCATAAACCCTGAGACTCACATATGTAGCACTGAATGCAGCGGGGTAGCTATCTCAGGTATCAAGCGGGACGCAGGACTATAGATGATTATTGCTTTAAACTTATATTCTTCTGAATTTTAAGATTTCTACAATGCCAAAAAAAAAAAAAAAAAAAGATTCCTACAATCAAATAAATTTCATGTGGTGTCTTCCTGTCCAGAAGATCTATTCCATTTAAAAACCAAACTAAGACAGAATAGCAGTGCATACCTATAATCCCCACTATTTGGGAGGCTAAGGCAGAAGGATCTCAAGTTCAAGGCCAGCCTGGGAAAATTAGGGGAGACCTTGTCTCAAAATGAAAAAAAAAAAAAAAACAATAAGAAAATGATTCTGGGGCTAGTTATAACAGTAGCACATCAAGTGCTCTATGCAGTAAACACTAGATTCAATCTCTAGTACTGCAAAAACAATGAATACACACAAAACAATAAAAAAAAAACCCAAGATTATGGTTTTGCTAAAGGCCTGTTAAGTGGCACACTGATTCATAAACACAGAAATACAATATACAAGACCTAGGGAACTCAGCATTCCTAAACTGCCTACCTAGATTATCAAGCTTACTCTCCAAGGTGATTTTCAGGTTGAAGAGGATGGCTATGTCTTAGTGAAAATCCACACCGGTCTGTGTAACCAGAGGCAATCAGGTTAAACCGGACTGGCTGTTCCTTTCCCAGTCATGGAACACAGAGGAAAAAACAGATTCAAGGGGAAGCTCATTTAGATCAGATCATGTGAATCTGAGGCATCTGGTGAGACTGCAGGGGAGAATATGATGAACCTCCTGAAGGGCACGTGGGCAAGCCGTGGAAGCCACTGAAAGATAAGCAATTTCAACCCCTATCTCACTCAGGGCTTGTGACATGAGAAGGCAGAAAACAACAGATGAGCCAAGTCAACATTTTAGAAGCGCTTACAAGGGGAGAGGAATGGGAAAAAAGGAAGCGAGATATATCATGCACAGGTACAAATTTCCTATGATGAATGTTATCATTTATGTACACCTAAAATGTACCAATAAAATTTAAAAATGCAAAACAAAACTACAAAAAAACCAATCCC